TTAAATTTAATTATTTATTAAAAATAGATAAAAATAAAAATTATTTTTAAGTTTTTAATGTATAAATAAAATTAAAAAATATCCAGGTGAAGGAAATAAATAATGGTAGGTTTTTTTTACCGTTAACCAATGCCTAGGCGACGTTTAGACACCACATAAAGTGCTCTAAGCAATTTTTCATTATTTTTATCCATTGTAATTTTGTTAGTATTTAGAGTACTAAATCTCAATTCTCCTTGCCTCAAGAAACACAATTTTACGTTTTTTAAAATTGTGTCCCTATTACTAAATCGAAGCCAAAAGAGATTAAGCATCTCAATGTGCTGTTTGTTTAGATTAAAGCTAAAAACATATAACGGTTTTTACTAAAAATGTATAGTTATAAGTCTTAAAATATCTAATTTTGTAAGAGCTAGGGCTAATATATATTTTTTGTTATTTATATGTAATATTATATTCTTACCATTAAAAAAAAAAAGGAATTTGTTTTATCTATATCTTAAGGGTATAAGTTAAAAGAGTTTTAAATATATTTTTAATATATTAATTTATATAAAAATAAAAAAATTAATATTAATTTTAACATCTATGATATATATATTTTATTAAATAATTGATAAATTTAATATCAATTTCTTAATTTTATTGTAAATATTAATAATAAAAAAATAATAAATACACATTTATCTTGTAAAGCACAAAATAAAAAATCTCTTAAAAAAATTCAGGCAAACAAATTAAACATGTCAACTGCAGAACTTAGGCATTCTCGATATCATTATTCTCCCATTTTAGGTTCGGCACTGTTTCTTTCTTATAAGAGTTTATTTTTCCTTCCTACTCTCTCCACCTTTTTTTTTTGTAGATTTAATTTAATTTTCTAATTTATAAATATATAATTTAAATAAAAATTTAATATATTATATAAATAATTAATTAAAAATTATTTTTGATCAATTAAAAATTATTTTTAATCAAATAAAAATATTCAACAAGAATTAGATATGGGAAAAAAATTTTAATTGTTATTTATATAAATTATTAAATTTTAATTTAAAATTTATATTTGAAAAGTTAAAAAATTTTAAAAAAAAGTTTACTAAAAATAAACAAAAAAATACTTTATAATAAATCTATTGTTTTACAATTTAAATTGTTGCAAATGATAAAACAAAAACATTTGGATGGAAGAAGAACTCCTAATATCAAGAACCCTCTTCTCATCTAAAAATTAATATTTTATAATTTAAAATAATTTTGACTATATAAAACACCTTTGATTTATAATTTATAAGAAAAATAAAAGCGTAAAAATTATTTATTGAGCAGAAAGTAGTGTTAGCAGTTGGGCCATACGAAGCTGAACGTGGGTTGCACCCAGCAATTTCCTATGGGCTTTTAGAATCAATTATTTACTGCTACAATAGCAAAGCCCAACAAAGATCGGAAGAGAGAGACCGGTGGCCTTTTTGTTAGAGCAGGGCGCAGCTGTGGCTCCTAATGGATTAGCCCAATGCCCCACAACCGTGACCCGGTGTCCAGGCTGACCACCGCTTATAACAACATAAATTTTCTTTTCTTAAACGGTTATAATTTGGGATAGAGAAAAGACGATATTTATATGGCCATAATTAAAACTTTGGTACCCGCCTGTGCCAATCAATCGAGTTTTAAGAATTGGAATTTCTGGTCTAAGTA